GATGGGAAGCGATGGATGAGAAATATCTGGAGGTTATGAAAAACAGATTTTGGTTAACAGCTGAATTAGAGGTAGGAGGAAAAGCAGGAATCAAGAGCAACATAGGACTTTGTAGTTTGGGTAAAAAGGGTGGCAGGAGATGCGTAAAATTTGAAATATAGTTAGAAGTATGGGTTAAGTTTCCACCTTTGAGAGCAAGGGAACAGAGGTAATAAGATGTTTTAGATGCAATGAAGTATTTATGGGATATTAAAAACAGATATAATGGGTTAGGAACTCAAATTTGAAGATAGCTATATCTGAGAGTTACCAGAAATAGTTGAAGTGCTAACTAAAAGAAGACAAACTAGAGGAGCCTGTTTTTTAAAGAATTCTTGCACTATTTGTAATTGTTTGTAAAAGGATTCCTTAAGGCAGGGGTATTATCTTTGTTGACTAATAAATGCCAAATAAAGCAATAACAGTAGCAAAGATAAAATGAACTGTAAAAATGAATAGTAAATATAAGACTAAGTAGATTCTGAGGCTCTCATTTACAGAAGAAAGTCAAAGCATTACACTAACTCGTAAATAAAAACAACATCTGGGAAATGAAAAAGAAAGTAAAATGGAGAAGAATATAAGTAAAAGGAAGTGAGAAAAAGAGAATGAGCAAAAGGACACAGGAAAAAAAAAAGGAGGCTTTTTTTTGTTTCTTCACTTTGCCAAATTCTTAGTAAATCGGATATCGAAAACTGTTGAATTAAGACTGAGATTAAATAAAAATGGGAGCAAATAAGGAAAGATCTACCATAAGCTAGTGGTAAAAAAGAGCAAATGATCACATGAGCAAATATTTCAAAAGGATAGAGAGGTAAATGACAAAGAAGTAAATAAAAACAGGACTGGAATAATAAAGCAAGACAGTTTTACCTGTTGGGGCCACCCTGTGTGATAGTAATAAGAACAGGATGTAAGATTCAATTTGCTCATTCCATTGCACACTATGTCACATATAGTGCAATTTTTTGGGGGGAGTGGTTTTACAATAAAAGTCATTTAGTCCAATTAGTTAATATGCAATTCCAGAGGCAGTAACAGCTATACAACCTCAGCTGTTTCCTTTCCTGTGAGCTGTCTGGAGGAAAAAAACAAAAAATAAACAAACAAAAGACCTCCAAAAAACAAAACCCTGCCAGATGGGGCTCAGCCAGTTGTGCAAAATACACTAACTAAAAGCCTTAATTGTGTGTCCACAAACATTCAAGTCCTAGTACAGCACTGAAAATTCTCAATGAGGTGGAAATTTAAATTTTGTGATGTTTTACTGTACATGTTTCATAAATCCTATGTGTGCAGAAGTGATTATTTTTCTGTTAAAAGTAGAAAGTATAAACTTCAAACTCCTCAAATGAGATTTAGAGGAACTAGAACCAAAATCAAAACAAAGTGTTTCAGTAGAACCAGATCTCTGAATATGCTACAGGAAAATATTATTTGATAGAAATGTTTTTGTACACAGTTTTCCAAGAATATATCTCATCCAAAGTTAATTCAAACTAGAATTTTTCCAAGTTTTCAAGGACTCTGGGTACTCGCCCTTTGAGTTCTACACCCTATGTAACTGAGTTCTTAACTGAGGGATAACTACTCATCAGGTCACAAACAGGCTTTGTGGGCCTTGAGCAGCCTGAGATGCTATGCAGTACTTACTGTGCATGTACACGTGAATGTTTCTTTTTTATCAGAACTTTCAAAGATTCTTCAGAAATTTTAAGAGCGACTATTAGACATTTAAATAAGACGGGTGTCAATGTGCTAAATACTTATAAATTTTTATATTTATGAAATGTCTTTTTTTTTTTGGGCGGGACTGGGGTTTGCTCTACTACTTGAGCTACACTGCAGCCCTGAGATGTCTTAACTCCTCTTCCTAGAGGAGAATGGGGCCTTGAGTCAGATTAGACAAAAAGCTACAACTTCAATTCCTAGTGGTTCAGACAATCCTTAACCTGTTGTAATCTGGTTTTTGCCCCCAGCTCTCTGGAATCACTTCTGTCTATATGATCACATTTCTTGTTGTTAAGTTCAAAATACATTTTCTGGCACTTTCTTTATTTGACTGTTTGGTGGGAGAGTATTGTGGTTAAAAGCACAGATTCTGCAGTCAAACTGCCTAGGTTCAAATTTTGGTTGCATTACTTTTTTAGATTTTACTTTGGGCCAATTACTTAACTCGTCTGTACTTCAGAGCAGCATCCTTTCTAGTTCCTTTGCTTAGAATGGTGAGGATGCATTTACTTTAAAAAGTGTGGTCAATGTGACTTAAATAAACTCCTAACAAAGAAAGTACTGTGAAATAGTTATTATCTAGTACCTCTGATCACGCTTAAGAAAGTGAAACTATACTGCTTAATTCTGCCTTTGATGGCTCCCTAGTTCTCTCTAGCTACAAACTAATCCCTCTCTAAGCTGATGCATCTTGGGCCACAGCCATCAATAAAATTTAAACTGCGGAGCATGGTCAACAAGTATGCGGTCAGTTCTTCTTCATATCTCCTCAGTTGTCTCTAATTACCCTGAATTAAGATGAATCAGGCAGTTATACCCCAAAAACGTGCCTCACTCTCTTTACATATGCCTTATCCATGTGACTCAAGGCCCCATTCTCTTCCTTCTCTAGAAATAAAATAGGTGTCCTTCCTTTCTTTTTTTCCCTTAATGGTACTAGGGTTGAGCTCAGGTCCTTGCACTTGATCTCAGGCATTGTACCACTTGAGCCACTCCATTAGACCTTTCTGTGCTGATTATTTTTGGGTCTTCCTTTATGCCTGCCTTGGCCTGGTCTGTGATCCTCTTATTCATACTTCCATGTAGCTAGGATGTCAGTGCACATCACCTCACCCAACCATTGGTTAAGATGGGGTCTTGTGAACTTTTTGCCAAGGCTGGCCTCCAACTATGATTCTCCTCCCAAGTAGCAACGATGACAAGCTTGAGCCACAATGCTCATCTTAGATGTCCTTTCTTAATGTGCCTCTAATAACTCCATACAGTATTTATCACATTCTATTTTACATGTGTGTTTGGTTGCTTATGAATTTCATCTAGTCAGATCTTCCTGCTACCCCCTATTAAGAACAGAGGGGCTATATTATGATAGTTTTGTTTTCTTAATTCTTCCACTGCCCTGATCTTAAACCACTTTCCTTTTTTTGGGGGGGTGGGACAGGAGTTTGAACTCAGGGCTTCATGCTTGCAAAGCAGGTACTCTACTACTTGAGTCACACCTCCAGTCCATTTTGCTCTGGTTATTTTGGAGATTGGGGTAGTGGTGTCTCACAAACTATTTGCCAGGGCTAGCCTTGAACCATGATCCTCTTGATCTCAGTCTCTCAAGTAGCTAGGATTACAGGTGTGAGCCACTGGTGCACAGCTGACTTTCATTTATCCTGCCCCTTTCTTTTAATAAACCCACTGAGAATAGGTAGAAATGCATCTAGAAAGGATATGTGTATAAAAGTTAACTAGATTAACAAAACTTCACACTAAGTTTTACACATTCTAGAAATATTTATTTCATTGCTGACCATTAGGTTGCAGCATGCAAAAACTCTATAAACACTCTTCACTCCTACAGAAGCACCAAATGCTATGGTACCACTACTTATGTTCTCAGCCCTTTGAACACTTTTATTACCAATTCATTACCTAAAGGATAAGTCTTTTCCTCTTAGGGACTTAAAAGCACTTAAGTCTCTAAAAAGTAACTTTGTATTTCATGCACAAAACTAACTTGCAAGGCCAGATGTGATGGCATGGGTTTTGTAATCCCAGCTACTTGGGAAATAGAGATCAGGAGAATCACAGTTCAAGGCCAGCCTGGGCAAAAAAAAGTCAGTGAAGACCCCATCCCAACAAACAAGCTGAGAGTGGTGGTGCACACCTACAAGCCCAGATGCAGGAGGTGTAGGTAAGAGGATTGAAGTCCAAGGCTGGTCCTGGGCAAAAAAAGTGTGAGACCCTATCAGAAAAATAACTAAAGACAACAAACAACCAACCAAAAGGCTAGGGCATGGGTAGAGTGGTATAGCATTTGACTAGCAAGAATGAGGCCCTGAGTTCAAAACCCAGTACCACCAAAACAAAAACCAAAACTCTCTAATTGGCAGGTTTAGGCACATAATAGAAAGAAAAAATTTATTCTGGTTCTGTACTACAAATTATCAGAAATAAAATAAGCATTTCTGCTTGCCTTGTTATAAGGAAATAAGACTGTTTTTCTTTACCAAGAGTCAGGACAGTAGCTCTGATGATCCCTTAGGGTTATAAAATTACTAAAGTTCTTTCCAAAAATGTTAAGAATTTGGTTCATTTTCCTGTACAATTTGAAGAAATATTTGCAGTATGTGTAGGAGTCACAGGTTATATTGTAGATTTATGATGATATTCAAAAGGCCTATTCTCCCCACTTAAAAAAATTCCACCTCAGAAGGTTAAAAGAAATCCCCATTATCCCTGAGCAAAAAAGGAAAAAAAAAAAAAATCACATGTACTTTTATTAGTTAATAGAAGCCACTGAAAATGAGTTGTTTATCTATAGAACAATCTTGGAGAATCTACATAAACTGAAACAGGAATGAGGTGCTCTCAGAGACTTTCTCAGATGAATGTATTTAGCAGTTTGAGGAGCTGAACTGTAAAGATTTTAAATTTAATTGTACACTTGAACATTTTTTCATTTTGAAATTTGAGGATATCTGAGAGGATGTTTAATGGGATATAAAACTGCTAGGCATAGGGATATTTGAAATGTTAGCAATCTGTGGCAGGAAAAAATAAAGAATGGGGAAAACAGTAGTAGACAGTGAACGAGGGACAGGATAGAACTGGAGCTCTGAGCTGGGTCATTCTTCTCATTAAGCCGGGGGCCTCTGGATAATTCTGTGCTATACCCCCTCTTATATTAATATAAACAAAACACTGCATTATAAAATTAATAATGTCCCAAACTAACTTAAGTCTTTTGTTTAAGGAGTAAATGAGAGAAAAAATTTAGTTTCTTAGTCAAGGAGTGCTATATAATTTCAAGGCATCTCCATATAATTCACTTAACCCTCAAGCAACTGTGCAATAAGCAAACTATGAAAGGACAATAACAAAGGTTTACATCCTACAGGGGCCAACAGACAGGATCTGTGCAGCATAGCAATTAACCTTCACATACTTGGAGTCTTGTTTGGAAGGCCATTAAAAGCTCAGATTACTGAAAATCACTAATGTCACCAACAAAAGGAATGTTGATTAAAATCAAAAAGCTTCCCAAAGGGCTGCCTTCTTTGAAGGAATTTCAGAATTTGCTAGCACAGGTGAGCTACTTTAAATCTCAGTGATGGCTCCATTGCAGAATGAGAATACCCCACTCAGCGATGTTTTGAAAATGAACTGGGAAGGGAAAAAAACAGAGTAAAACAATCTACTGTTCCCTAAAACATATGGCTTAGCACCCAGAGAAAGCCTCTGTCCCCAAAAGAGACTTCCACGTAGGGTTAAGCTTCATTAAGTGAGGCGTAATCTTTCATTTTCAGGACATGTCTTTTCTTGTAAGGTCTTTAAAGGCAGAGGTTCCACTTGGATTCTAATACACATCTCTGTGAGCTCAGCTTCCTGAAAACATACACCTGCTGGGTTTTAGGTTCTCCCTTACCAGTAACTGGTTTCACTACTTCACAGCCACCAGAATCGCACATACACTATTAACATGATGAAAAACACAGCTACTGCTGCAAGTTTGGCATAAGTGGAACGCATGTTCAAGTACTTCGCATCCTGGCGGTATTTCTTGGACAGACTGGACAAATTGTTAGCCTTTGAATCCAATGCTGTCAATGAGGAAAAAGGAAAATATTAGTTAGTTCTTGGAAGTATTATATAAAAAATATTAAGGCATAAAAATAACCAAAATGATTGGCACAACAACAACCAATCATGAAGCTTAAATAATTACTTTTATTTTAAGGGTAAAGTTGCATATACTGAGTAACTCATGATACTGAAGCACTGTAAAATCTGTAATACATTAAAAATTATCTGACCAAATTATGTATAAATTCTTGAGGCTGTAGTAGGAGTACTGGCAGATTCTGTGGTCCAAATATCATCTGTGCTAACCATGTGATATTGGTCAAGTCATTTAACCTCTTTCAGTTTCTTCAGTTAAATACCAATAACTACGTAAGGTATATAAGATTGCCTTAAAGTGAGCACAATTCCTGCATATGGCAAACAATATTAGCTGATATTTTTCTAATAATTATCATCTTTATAGTCTTTAAATGATCTAACGCATATCATCTAATACACTGAAAAATGAAAATCCATGTAAGATAAGACTCAGATAGCCAGAAAAAGTCAATTAATCAAACACTATGTTTAAGCAATACTTCAATGATGATTGCTATAATTTGTAAGATTTGTCATATAGTAAAGACTTACTATGAAGTTAAAACTAGCAGAAATTATATTTCAACATACATAGGACAGTTATATTGTAACTAAAATATAGTAACAGCTCCTAAAAAAAAAAAAAAGCACCAATGTCTAGTAAATTAAGCTTTTAGCATTTTCTGCAAAGACTGCCGCTGCCCAGGTTATTTGTAATGTTGCTATCTTCTCATAACTGTTAACCAAATACTTACAAAAGAAATAGTCAGATAGGCACAAGCTAGGTCACATTAAAATATAGGGAATATTTTAATAATGACAAAAAACTCTCAGTTTAACATAAATGAATTCTGATCAAACTTTTCACTTCTTAAAATTTTGACAATCTATTTTGCAATCTCAATTTGTTTATTCTTTCTTAAGACAATGATTTGGAATATTTTGAGTTGCTTAACAGGGAGTGGTTTTGATTGAGAAATGTGGCATTACTTAATAATACAAGCATGATAGCCATGTCTAACCTAGCAAATGGTTGTATGAGTGAGAAAAAGAACTGGCTGTGAAACAAAACGATAAATAACCATGGCAATGCTCAAGGAACCTTCCCATCCAGTCTACTAGAGTCTATGCTCCACTGGATAGGGACTTTTAACTACTGTGCTTACTTCTGTATACCAAGTAACTAGAACAGGGCCTGACATAGTCAGTGCTCAATAAACATTTGCCAAATAACCTTTAATCTACAGGGAATAACTGGGTGGAGAAATAATTATTAGGTCATAGGAAACAGGAATATTTTTTTTTTGAGCACAGGCTAGCCTTGAACTTGTAATGCTCCCATTTCAGCCTCCCAAGTGCTGGGATTATAACTTAGTGCTTGGACCACACCTGGTCCAAGTAATATTTAAGACAATTCCTCTACTTAAGAACATTTTGAAACACATGATAACATAAAGATAAAACTACTGCTGAGAGTAGTCATTTAACAACTACTTATGTTATATAGGGACTATATGAAGTGCTAGAGGATACAATGATAACAAAAATATTCATGATCCCTGACTCTATTGAATTTATATCCTTGTAGGAGTGACACCTTTAACTGAAAAACACTACAACTGATAGTGTAAAAGAAAGCTGTATTAGGCAGTAAAAAAAAAAAAAGGGCATAATTTAGGATGGGGGTGTGGCTCAAATTCAAACTCAGTACTGACACACACACACAAAAAAAAGATAAAGAAAAAAGGGCATAATTTGATCTTGCTGTAAGAATCCCCAGGAACTACTCTTAGGTTTTAAAGCAAAGTAGACTAGGTATAAAGCTGGAAATTAGAAAGAGAACAAGGTCTAAAGATTGATTCTTATGAAGAAGCTTAAAGAGGAAGAAAATGTTTTCCATCTTTTGTTTAGTTTATTTTTTTTTTGGCAGTATTGGGGTTTCAGCTCAGGCCCTCATACTTGCTAGGCAAGTGCAGTACCACTTAAGCCATGCCCCAGCCCTTTTTGCTTTTTAGTTTGTTTCAAATAAGGTCTTACATTTTTACCCAGGTCTGGCCTAGGACTGTGATTCTCCTATCTCCATCTCCCAAGTAGTTGGGACCACACAGGTGCACCACCACACCCAGCATTTTATTGGTTGAGATGGGGTCGCATGAATCTTTTGCTCAGGCTGGCTTCAAAATGTGGTCTTGCTAATCTCCACCTCCCAAGTAGCTAGGCTTATAGGCATGAGCCACAGTACCTGGCTACAAAATACTACTTTTAAAGAGCTTACATGCCCATATCTAATGCTTACGTTAACATGTAAACAGGTAAATATATTTTTAACCTAATTTTGCCTAATTACCTGTAATTTAAAAATCAATATAAGTAATTCAATCCCTAGCATTGCAAAAAAAATTGTACATATATTTACTTAATTTACTTTAAATATATTTAAATACATATTAAACTATAGATTTATATAACATATATTTAATATAAGTTAATAATACATAAGTATCTGATATGTATATTTAAAATAAATTAGGTAAATATACACACATCACACAATTATGTGGTAAAAAATTGTGCAAACTAAATATTTTGAGAGTTTAAAGTGACTGGGTGTGGTGGCTCACACTTTTAATCCCAGCTAGTGACAGAGCACTGGCCTAACAAGCATGAGGCCCCAAGTTCAAACACTAGTACCATGGAAAGAGTCTTAAGTACAGAAGAGATTAATGTGATGTGGGCTATAAGGGTTATGGAAGGCTTTTTTAGAGAGAGTCCCTGTTATTTCTTAATGGACAATTCCAGTATGCAAATGGCCTGGACCACCAGTGGTGAGGAAGCTGCCTGGTTGAGGGAGAATGTTTACCAACTAGGGAGGAGGGCAAATACTTGCAGTATCCTTATTTTCCATCCATAAAGCACAATGCCTTGAACAGAAGCACTAAATAACAAAGACCAAATAAGTAAAACGTAAGTTGAGAACAGACTAGATCTCAGATCTTGCTTTTTATTTGTGGTAGTACTGGGGTTTAGATTCAGGACGTCATGCTTGCTTGGCGCTCTACCATGTGAGCCACATCCCCACCCCCACAATCCTCCTACCTCCCCCTCCTGTGTAGCTGGAATTACAGATGTGAAACGCCACTCCCAGTTTGTTTTGTTGAAATGAGGTTGTCTCTAACTTCTTGCCTGTGGTTGGCCTCAAACCACGATCCTCCTGATCTCTACTTCCTGGCTGGCAGGGATTACAGACATGTACCACCATGCCCAGTCCCAGACTAGATTTTATTTTGAAGTCTCAGATTTAAAAGTTTTGCTGTGGAGGAATGCTTTGATGGAAACGGCATTTTATAAGAACTGACCCGGCAGTGTAGTAAAATCTCCCAAGAGGCCACTCATGAAACCATTTCAATAAATTTTGACAATTTCCTCTCATTCTTCTTTTCATTTCCCTTAACGTGTACATTTTTCTGTATAAAATTTATCTTGCAAATTTTTAGAAATAGTAACCGCTTGTATTATGGATGAGTCTTTACTCTGTTCTAATGCAACAAAAACTAATCATGCTAGGGGGAAAAAAAACCATACCATATTAGAAGCTTTCTAATGTAATCTATTTCTGAGAACTGAATTCTTAATAGTCCTATGTAGAAACTGACAGCAATAAAAGGTACTATGAAATAAGATATCCTTGCATATAGTATGAGAACCACCTCTCAGTAAGCCTCATAATGTTTTCAGACACCTGAGAGTGCTTCTCCTCGCTGTAACACTTCTTCAATATTGGCCACCATGATCCTCTGCACATCTTGCAATTCAGTGTTGATGGAGCCTAGATTTCTCCGGGCACGACTATCAATGTAGAGCTTCTTGGTTTTCTGAATGAAGGTATCTAGAATGATGAAGAAAAATGACCATTCACAAATTCTTTCCTGTCCAACAAAGTACTGAAATAGGGAATCAGAAGTTCTGATTTTACTCCTAGACCTGTTATCCATGTCCACTGTTAGCTAAGCAATGTGATATCAAAATCTGGGCTTTGATGTCCTCATTTGCAAAATTTAAAAATGTAACTTGATGACCATTCAGGAGAAATGTACTTTGGACACCTCCAAATTAGATGTATTTGCTGTCAGGATCCTTTGAGACCCACTACAGTAAGCCTTTCCTGAGCAGAAACTTTCAAACTGCATTTGAAAAACTGGACATTATACAAATTAGCACTTGAAGAGTTTATAGTAACTGCGAATGTTTTGCCAAAATTTCTGTTTTTATAAAGAAAGATTGCCTACTTCTTTAGTAAGCTTGAACCACTTCAGAAATTCTAAGATAGTAAAACTAATTTCTTTTTAATTAAAAATTTCAGCAATTTAGCCTGATTCTACTTGTTCTCATTCTGTACAGTTAGTGTCCCTAGGACATTTCATTTGACTCACTGCTAATAGATACTCTACCAGGTCTGACTGGTGTTCAATCTTTCCATAATTTCTGCACAGATACAACACCCTTGCTTGCTACTTCTCAATGAAGTATTATCCTCCAACACCATCAACATCATATCTCTTCTAGTACTATTTAAAGTTAGAGGATTTTACTCCATTAAAAGAAGCAAAGTACCACTCTTCCTAATTTCCATAAAATAAATCCTAGTATTAATTTGTGCCTATTAACTGGAAGAAAGAACTCAGAGGTTACAAGTCAATCAAGCAGATCTTCACATGTGGTTCCTGTCACAAACGACTCTACTAAAGAATCAAATCCAACAATATAGAATATAAGTTCTATGGTAAAGATCAGAAGACTAGAGAAACATACTTGTAAGGAAGCCTCATTCATTCAAAAAGACAAAAAGAGGTGGATAGGAGAGGAGATAGCAGCACAATCTTGGCAAGTAAACATGGGATATATATTATACATAGTATAATAAATAGCTTCTCCATATTGTTTGCCCTCCCTTGCCCTTTTTTGAGTCAGGATCTCACTGTGTAGCCCAGGCTGTCCTCAAATTCACAATCCTGCCACCTCAGCCTCCTGAGTCCTTGAATTACAGACATGTACCACCCTGTCCAGCTAGATTTGCTGCCTTAACAGAGAAGTGAGGGGCCAAAACTTACCAAACTCAATAAAGGAATAAGGTCTAGACACAGTGGGCACCTTCTTCCCATGCTGTTCATCAAACTCTGAGTGTAAATCTTCCAGATAGGCAAAAGCCAACTTCTTAGGGAAAGCAGCTTCACACAAAACCAAATAACACACCCCGTGCTCAATAATGTAGCTGGAGAGACAAAAAAGCAAGGCAAAGTTGTTTGTAAAGTAACAGTACTTGAAACAGGCTAATAGACTCTGAGTACTATAGAAACTTTTGAAAATAGCTGGCCAAACTCTGAGGCTGGCTAAATCAAAAAGTTAATTTCAAATTATATCTTCCCATTATTGGAAGTATATCCCAAAAGGAGCAGACATATTTCTTACAATTGTTTATTATACAATTCTACAACTATCATATATCAATACTTATGACTTCTTGAAAACTACAGTTGTGACTCCATCCACCCTTTGATTCTGTATAGTAAACTCATACACACAAATTAAACTCCTTCCAGCCACAAAGTAAAGCAGAACTGGAAATTGCTGCAGATGACTAAAAGTTGGAAATTAAGACATAGTATTTATGGAGTACGGAAAACAGCCACCTAAAAACTAGTAATGTTGCCTAATTTCCAGGCTGGAAGAACTCTGTAATCAATTGGAAATCATCCAACAACTATACTATCTGTAGTGATAGTGAGCTCTCTGGCATTCTGGGAAGGACTATGTGACTACACATATGACATATTCTTGGGGAAAGGATAGGCTACTAAGTGGCTTTCAAACCTTTTAGTCATAGTACTTTTTTTTTTCATTATGATATTTCCATACATGCATTCATCATCCTCATCCCTCTATTACTTCCTTACTCCCTGCTTTAAAAAAATTTAATGAGTTTCATTATTCTATTTTCATACATGCATATATATTCAGAAGGCCAATATGTATAGCAGATAAAATCAAAGGTTCTTTAGTTTAAGTAGTTTTAGGGCCCAAAGCACTATATAAACTGCGATAGGGATGGCCTTTCGGCAAGAGTCCTGATGCATCCCAGGTTACTGCAGAAGATCACTTAAAAGTCTTTTAAAGGACCCTTAAAGTAGTTTTAATAATACTACTCTTATTACTTGCTTGGACAGTAACTTGTCTTCAATCTATCCAATCAGTCTTATTCCCCCCCAAAACAAATAGGACCATATTATCTTGCTTAAAGCTCTAGAGATTCCTCAACACCTATAAAATAAAATCATACTCCTTGGTATAGTATTTATAGCCCAAGCATAAGCGACATTCTATCATATATTGTAATATACCAAACAGATGCTGTTCTCTAACAAACTAGATTCTAAACATCTTTGTGGACTTTTGCTTATATTGTTATTTCTAACTGTGATGCTCTTTTATATAGCTGGAGAAATTTTGCTCATTTTCATATGCTTAATCTTACTATAATTTTTTTCTGCGAAATGTCTTTGTTTCCTGTATCTCCTTTCTTCAAGCTTAAGCCTCCAAATGGGAATTTATTGCTTATCTTTCCTACTAAAACATTTTATTTACATTGAATGATGATATTTCTTGCTCTGCTAGTAAGATGAGCACATTAAAAGATAGGGACTTTGAAGGTAAGACTGAACACAAGGTCTGGCAAAGAATAAACCTTTAGTAAATAGCTCTTCAGTGGGGGTTGAGGATGGGGATGGAGGGGATGGAGATTATGAAGGTCATAGAGGAACCATGTAGAAGAACATTTCTTCTCAATTCTATGAGAACTTTTCTATCCCATGGTAGAGATACACAGTAATCCCTCAGTATCTTCAGGGGATTAGTTCCAGGACCCCACAAGTTGTCCAATCTCAAGGATGCCTAAATCTCTTATATAAAATGGCATAGTATTTGCATATAACCCATGTATATCCTCCTGTATACATCAAATCACCCCTGAATTACTTATAATCCCTAATATAATATAAAAAGCTGTCATACTGTATTGTTTAAGCAATGTGTCTAGTACACATGCAAACATTTTTTTGAATATTTTCATTCCACGGTTGATTAAATCTATAGATATGGAAGCCACGGATATAGAACCTCTGCATATGAAAGACCAACTACCATATAATTGAATGGATATATTATTTAATTATTACTATTACTTATTGAGATTGAGGATGTTCTATGTTGCCCAGGCTGGTCTTAAACTCCTAGGCTCAAGTGATCTTCCTGCCTCAGCTTTCTGAGTAGCCAGGACTACAGGCACACAGCATTACACCCCAGCAAAATGGCTTTTTTTTATGTTAAAAATCAGATTTATAGAAAATGTTTCAGATACTATGCAAATTAATACCTTATGAAATATAATGTCTACCTTTTTTTTTTTTTATAACAAAGAGGCCAGGGTTTTGTTATCCTTGTTTTTTGATAAGTGGAAGTATTTTCTTGCTGTTTTTCAGTTAAACCCAGCAGGCTCCTCCTTGGCCTACATTACCTTACTATTTGAGTTCCTAAAATAGCAAAGCTTATTTAGCTTATCCTTTTCTACCTTCCTGTGATCTTCTTGTACTCTCTTTTCCTTTTTAATCCTTCCTGCTTTATCAGATGCAAACTCAACATGTACTAAATAACTGAAAATGCAATAAAGTTCTTTTCACTTCTCTCTCAGCCACACATACTGTCATAATTGCCGATTAGGGGTTGGTGGGGGTGGGGGACTCATAGTGCGGTGGTAGAGCACTTGCCTAGCATGTGTAAGGCTCTGGGTTCAACCCCAGCACTGGAAAACTAAGTTGCCAGGCAGGTGGGACACTCTTGTAATTCTAGCACTAGGGGATGCTGAGGCAGAAGGATTGTGAGTTAGGGGGCAGCCTGGGCTATAGAGTGAGTCTCATGCCCATTTGGACTATATAGTAAGACCCTGCCTGAAAAAAAGCAAACAAACAAAAATACTACCACTGATTGAGGGGCTGAGGATATCACTCAGTGGCAAAGTGTTTGCCCAGCATATATGAGGGCCCTGAGTTCCAATGCCAGCAATGAAAAACAAAAACAAAACACCAAACAAAAAACCACCAATCTTATAACCACTGATTTAGATGCTTTTAAATTCTTTTATAATTTTTCCTTAAATAATAACACTAATATTGATTGACCATTTTTTATGGGCTAGTAATACACATAGATTCCTTTAAAATCCTCACAAAACTCTCATGCTTATTTTCTCTATTTTATTGAGGAAACTGAGGCTTTAAGAAGTTATATGAATTGTTCAAAGTTAAACTGTTAGTAAATGTTTGAGCAAGAGTACTAATTTACACGTTTGGCTCCAACATATTCCTAAAGCAAGAAGCTAGCTATTACTGCATGATGCAAGTTCTTTATTATCACACACAGGTTTAACTACTGCAAACATGTTAAATAAACCAAGATTTTGGTTTTGTATAATTAGAGCCAGAAAAGTTGCTTCCATGAAGATTATACTTTTTTAGTTTCTTTTACTTTTAAAAAATTGTTAGCATTTTTATAAGGTATTCCATAATTATATTTCACACTTAAATGATAATAAAGAAATCGGGACTATACTCACTGAAAAGTCATGGCTCCTGCTTCCAAGGTACATCTGGTAGGGGACTGTTCATTCAACTTTCTAAAGAGTTGCTTAGCCTGACTCTGATATTGTTGCAGGTCCCGGCCAGACTGAAAGAAGATACCTTCATTTAAGAATGTTCCACACAAAAAAGCTGTATTGATTAGTGAGAAGCACTAGACATTATAAGGACACTATGCAAGTAAGGTCCTTCATTTACAGGTTAATAAGATGCGTTTTAGTGAAAAAAAAAGGTCTACTTTTAAAATGAACAGGAAGATCAACTCCTAGTTCTTCAAGATCATATTACTTACTTGCTAAGAAGCAAAAGCATACCTCAACTACACTTAAAGCACTCTCCATGTTCTTTCCACTAGTAGGACAGTACCTTCCTCCTAACCCATTTTACTGGCACAGAATTGCACATCATGTGCTGTACTCAGGAAAAAAAAATCCTGAGAACAAAAGAATGATGAATCTCACTTTTATACTGGAACACCAAGCAGAATCTTCCCCAAAGTGTTATATTATTGAGCATTTAAGCAAAATTAAATGGATACACCATGACTAAAAACTACATGAACACTATGACTGCAATTTGGCAAAAATGAGCAGAGGTGGAGGCGAAGACTAGAAAGTCAAATATCCTTTTCTGCATAAATCTGATTAGTTCTTGAGTCTGAATAGCAAGTCTGAATAATGAAGGAAATATGCAAACAAAAATGAATGTAATAACATTCAAATCACATAGACAATTTCTCTGAACAACGTATAGATGCTTTTATAATTAAAAAAGGAGTCTAGTGGGAAAACAGTACTGTCATTCTGAAAGGAAAACAAAATCATATCTAACTAACCTACTAGATCCAAAGGGAAAAGAAGTGCAGGAAGAACAGGAAGCACACATTGTTCATTTACGCTGCCTATGGCCTGAATGTGTGTATCCTTCCCCCAAGTTCATATATTCATATATTGAAACCTCAACCCCAGGGTGATGGTATTAGGAAGTGGAACCTTTTGGAAGTTGATTAGGCATTGGGGATAGAACCCTTGTGATTGGGATTAGTGCATTTATAGAGTCTAGTGAGCTAATCTGCCCCTTCTACTATGCAAGGATCCAGTCAGAGGCACCATCTATGAACTAGGAGTAACCCTCACCAGACACCAAATCTGCTAGTCTCTTGATCTTGGACTTCCTAGTCTCCATAACTGGAAAAATAAGTTTTTGTTGTTTATAAGCCATGTCAGTTTATAGAGACTGCCATGTGATGGGAAGGGATAATTACTCCAGTTTGGAATTACTTATTTTGGATCGAAAGATAGACTCAATCTCCCTTTGGCAGATTCCTAATAACTAAATGCTGAAATAGAAAAGTGTTTATACTAGCTTCTCCAAGGTCTGTATCTGAGGTCTAACGTTAAGAAAGCATACAGTGAAATCTTAAAATTCCAGACAGTGTACTGCTGAGCTAATAGTAAAAACAAAGAAGCAATGATTAAATTAAGTGGTAGCAAATGTACAAGTATAGAAACATAGTGAACTGGAAATATCAATGTAAATGAGGTGGTCAGTATATATAAGGTAAACTAGGGAGTCAGGCAGAGTCTACTCAAAGTATTAACTTGTAGATTTATCTTGTTTAGCATTGCTGCTATGGCAATGATTTGTTACACTGCTGTTCATTTGAGAAATATTTCTGTATCAATGTATGTATGTATGGGATTATATAGTTTCATATGCTAAACAGTAGTTTATAACAATTAATATATTAACATCATATTAAATAGTATGACATATATACACCTGGTCAGCCAGTACAGGAGAGTAATTACTGTAGCTGCCTTTAGCCATTAAGAACTAGTGCACAACATTCTATTTTTTTTAATTGTTGGGGGTACATTGTGGCATTTATAAAAGTTCTTACAATATATGAAATATATCATACTTGAATTTACTGCCTTCACCATTCTTCTTTATCCCCTCATCCTCCATAATATCCTATTTTCAAGTTTGAATAGTACTTACCAATTTGTTTGCCTCACAATGCTATCATGCAGTATCATAAAGAGATCTGAACCCGTAACAGTCAAAAAAAAAATAAATAAAACTACTCATGCTCAATGTGTACCTCTAAACCAATTAAATCAACATCCCAGAGGGGGGACTCTGACATTGGTATTTTTTAAATAGCCTCAACCACGGATGTTAAGAATACATTCTAACCCAGTATAGTTTGTGAAGTTAAGGCAAGACAGAATTAGATAAGATGCTTCAGAAAAAGGCAAATGAAATTAAGCACTCACTTTCTGCCAGACACTGTCCTAAATACTTAATATAATTTATCTCATTTAATCTTTACATTACCTTATGAGGTGACTAGAATTATGCTAGCTTTGTATTTGAGAAGTCAAACTAGCCCAAGGACTCCAACAGGCTTATAAGGGAAGAAGGCAGGATTTGAACCCACAGAGTCTGGCTCTGGAATTCCTGATCCAAATGTTAGGTTCTACTACTTCTATAATTGTAATTGTTTAATAGTAGTTTTAATATAATCAAAATTGTTTTAAAATTCTTACTATTTAATATTAAATGTAATTCATAGGAAGTGTTCAAGAAACTATGTGGGAACTCTGATCTATATTCCACATAACAAAATAACCACTTCTTTACAGACTGACCTTTAGTTTGCTTTCAACATAAGTCACAAAGAGAGCATCCACTTAAAAATATTTAGATATTGGATTACGGTTCCTCCATCATCTAGAACAAATCAATGAACTTTGTATACTGTACATGTTAATACCCTAATAATGAAGTGGATGAGAACAATTGGACAAACTGTGAAACAAACTTGAGTTTAACCAAAAGTGATTTAGGACTTGTCTCTATTTATTGCAAAATGTTCAAGGTAGTAATTTGCCCACACAAGCACAGTAGGTTTTTCTGCCATCACCTAGACTGTTGGACAATTGGTTCTATCAAATACCATCTTTTTGCCTTTCTAAGAACGTTTAGCTAAGCTCTTATCTTTTACAAATTCCTGCTGAACTCAGCTGGTCAAAGGCCAGCAAGACCAAGAATTAACCATTTTCCTTAACAAGCAATTAAGCAATCAATTGTAAATAATTGAGAGAGTGACGTAGTTTAACTGTACAATAGATACTAGCGTTTTTGGGAGCTCCCTGCAGTCTATTTGGTTATATCTAACACCTTCTTAAAGCTTGAACTGCTCTCTGCACAACTGATGCAAAAGTAAAAAGAAGAGAATACAATAATTTTGAGGTAGACAGAAATGTAAATGAAGAAATTGCAAACATTCTAAAAATAAAAAAGCCATAAAAGGCAAGGGAATAGGATACCAGTCAGGGTGTCTAGGTTTGTGAAGAAAAGCTTATCTCTCTGCCTGCCCTACACCTAAGTTTCTAGTTAAGCACAGAGCAACACTGTCTGTAAAATACTTCCTCTATATTACTTTGTGAATTTTACTCTCTATTGCATTACCTCAATAACTGTTCATCTTCAGTAATAGGGCACCTAGTAAACACCTAAAATATGTTATCTAGTATCAGTGTGAATAATTGAATGTATGCTGAATTTTTGGCTTGGACAGTTAGGGTACTTAAATATAAAACTATCTAGTGGGATAATCTATTTCTTAAAAAGTTATTTCTGGAATGATAAGAAGTGAATACGTCATTAAAAAGGGTTAGAACAAGGCAGTAAAGTATAGTGGTTAGGGAAAAGTTCTAGTCTACATTAGATACTGATTAAAAACTAGTGTCTGATAAAATAGCACTATAGCTATAACCAGTGGTTCTCAACCAAAGATGATTTTGTCCCCCAGAGGACATTTCCCGATACCTAGGTATATTCTGAGTTGTCCTAAGGGAGGAGCGGGAAGTGTTGTTATCTGGGAGTACAGGCCAGGGATGTTGCTAAGATATCCTACAACGCACAGGACAGCGCCTCCAACAAAGAATTGTCCACCACAAAATGTCAAAAGGGTTAGGTAAAAACAAAACACAAACAAAAAATACCTGATAAAAAAATTCATTATGCTACATTTTAGCTGTGTGACTTCAGGCAAGTGACCTTTTCTCTATAAGCATCTCAGCTTCCTCATTTATAACTGGGATAATAATAAATAGTTTTTTAAAAAAGTTTAGGCAAAGCTTTATTATTAAAACCAAAGTTCCTAAAGGAAAATACAATGGAATTACAATCAAAAAATATTTTTTGCATAAAATTTCTTTGTCAATGAATCAGATCAACTCATTCTGGTACATTAATAGCAAATTAATACCAGATTTAAAATTAAGAAATAAACAATACAAATAACTAATTTTTCAATAAAGTTTTAATGCAGAGAGAGCAGGATCTTACTAATATAAAGCAGATTTTAAAATCCACTTTGTACCCTCTGCCAACATTAGAGTCCAGTGCAATAGTTGGAAAACTGACAAGATTATAACCCCTTTCTATCCCACTGCCACCCCTAATGGGAAAAAAATAATTCCCAAACGACATATCCTTCAAGAAAAATCTCCCTACACCGTCTCGCTTGTTCAAATCATGTTTTGGAGCTCACATTCCTTGCGCTGAGTGATTCTAGAAAATCCTTAACAAATTGAAAACTTTCATTTGAAAAATTCAAGAGTGTGTTATAACTTTCACAGTTTATTTCAATGAACAGACTTTGGTAGGCACTAACTCAATTTACTGGACGGTCAAGAAAAATAATAAGATACCACGAGTTAGAGCAATTTGGCTGGATTTATTGGAGGAGGTGGGAATCGGCCATAACTCTGAAGGAAGGTACTGTACAGATCTCTGACAACTGCTTGTAAGTGGCAGTATTACCTCATCCGCTTTCAAATGATGTAAGAAAGCTAGGTCAAGGCTCGGGCGCTACAGGAAAACCAGGTGAAGAGCTTAGGGACTGACTTTTCCCAGGATTTGTCAGCTAACAGCGGAAAATTATAAGTCCTGAATTTGAAGAAAGTCCCTTAAAAAGTCCCAGGACGCTGGCGATCACAATTAGCCAAACCTATCTCCCCTCTCTGGAGCGTCTGTCCAGACACAAACAGGTGATCCAAAGTCCACCTCCAAATGACAAGAGAGCACTTCAAAGGGGTCGGGAGGGCCTGGGATGTTGCAAGGCTCTCCACGTCCTATAAGAAATCCCGTGCCGAGAGCAGGGCGCGCTCCCGGGGACCTGGGTGGCGGGGATCTAGCAGTTTCTTACCTGCTCGTCCTCCTGCATGGAGGCGGCCAACGGGAGCCCGTCCGCCACTCGGGCGATCATTGTTAGTAACACCATCTTCACTGGCCCGGCGGCCGCCTCACTTCTTCCGCCAAGACCGCAGTTAACACCTCAACCTCAGTTCTTACAGACCCAGTTGCCTGCGTCTCCGCTTCCCGCTGAGGTGGCCGGAAGCAGCTCAAGGGCTTTCCACTACCGGTCCCCAGAATTGGCTTCCCCCCAGAACCACGACTGTGGCAATACTAGTTCCGGGTCTCTCCTCCTTCATTTACAGACTTCCAAAAACTCGCCCACTTTTCTGGATCTCGACCTTCCAATAAGCTTTGCCCCTTGAGGAGACGTGACACACAAAACAGAATTTTCTAGTGCCTTTATATTTTAAGTTTGGGGAGAGGGTTGGAAAGGAGAGTAAGAGTCAGTGGGTTCTTAGACGAAAGGTGTGTGAAACAATGCGAAGTTAGGCTATGTATTTTCATATTTTGTAAAAAATTATATATATATAGTATACGAATAACATTTTCTGTATTATATCTCCAGGCACAGATTTTTGAATCTGTTTGTTTATGCTCTATCCCCACATTCTTGAGCAGTTTCTGGTAAAAGGTCAGTAAATACTTACTGTATTGTGAAAAACTGAATGAGTACAGGACCTCAGAGATCACCTAGGTCAGTCAGTCCACCAAAATCTGGGATCTCAGCTACATCTAATATGGTATGTAACAGGGTAGTCTTATTAGAACTTCCAGTGACTGGGCTTTCACTCCCCATTGGAACAACCTCTAGACAAGTGAAAGTGTTCCCATCTTTCTGTTGTTTGGTGTCCCCATCTCTAAGATGGGGATATCATTGGCCTCTCAGGGAGGTTTGTGAATATTAGATGAGAAAATGCAGATGCAAGTGTTTCATAAACTATAACACAAAGTTATACTAATATATTCTTATTACTTTTATTAATAACAATTACTCTTTACTAAGAGCATACAGTTTGTGCTTGCATTAATAAAAATGTTGCTAAGTGCTTTATAGATATTTGCAAATTAAACCAAACAACCTAGTAAGATTGTTTAGTATTGTAAGAGGTGCTTAAGTTGCTTTTTCTGAAAGGCACTGACTCCTTACTTGAGCCCATTAATTAAGTAAAAACAGGAGAAAAGCTTGACATCTCTGTCTCCATTTTGTATCTATTATCTTTTGCTCTGAGCCATTTTGTCCTGCAGCTACCTTGGAATCAAGGAAGGACAGAGCTGATAACATCTTCATGACAAGGGACTGAAACTACTCAGGAACAGCAGAGCCTTGCAGGAGAGATCACCCCTCCAAATAAGGACAATTATCTATAATGATGAGGCTGCACCTTGGAGCAAGAGTAATCATCAGGTCTTGGAAATAAGATTTGCAAGTGATAACAGCAATAAAAAACTTCTCCAGAACACTCAGAGAACAAGGAAGGACTGAGATAATTGTCAACCAGGGCCCACTTGACCACTGGAACACACCTGTGACTGGGACTGTTTAACTATGCATACCTTTCACCCTCTGCCTTAATTCTTTGGGGGTACAGGCATGTACCCAAAGATGACTAAAGATGGGCTGAAGTGCTTACTTTACCTCTTACCACAGCATGTCCCAGGCCATGCAATCAATCTCTCTCTGTCTTTCACCATGTGTCTTAATTTGGCTTATAGGAACAAATGGCCAGATATGACAGATGGAAGTCTAAGAGTTTGGCCTGGGATTCAAAACTCCGGTATCAGTATCAGGTCACCACTTAGTATTGGGGGGGAAAACTTCAGAGAGTAGTTTTTCCAAAGCCGCATAGCTAGCAATGTTGCAGAAGGGCTCAGACAAAGAGGGCACCAACGCTTATGGGAAGTAAGTTTATTAAGCAAGCTGGCAGCAACTCAGCAGACTTGTCCAAAGGCTGAGCCCTGAGAACAAAGGGGGCTTTCCTTATATACCACTTAGAGCAGGTTACAGAAACGGGGGAGGGGGGGCGTGCAGCTTGTCCTACACATAATCACATGTCATTTCATTGGCCGCTCCAACCTCTGGGGTGAGTTGACCCTTTTCTGGTCTCCAGGTAACATTTCCCAACTCCGGTTTCTCTTTGTTTCACTGTAGCACTCATTAATCTCTCTTCCCTCTCCCTGCCTTCCTGCCACAGCAGTGATGGGAACAGGATTTGGGCTCATGTTTAACTCCAAATCCAGATGTGATTATTTTTTAACTTTTACCATAGGCTAAAGAATTCATGCTTTTGTTACCTTTTCAATTGCCTTCAGCTGTTAGGAGAAAACTAGTATTCTTTCATCAGAGGCTTTTTTTGGGGGAAACTCAATAAGGCCTTGTGATAGGCTAAAGATATAACTAGTTCTAACTTTCTGTCTTTCCACGTAACAAGGCCATGTCTTTTACCATAGTCTCAAATGATAATCATCCAGTTTCAGCTAGAACAATTCCAGTAATGGGGAATTAATGACACAAATATTTCAAATAAGGATACTACATTGTGGCTTAGGAAAGCTGAGAGAGAAGAATGTAGTAGGCATGTTCAGATAAGCACATTTGGAGCAAAAGTCTCAGCTTTGCTCCAGTTTATAATTCTAGAATCTGCCCAAGGCTCATATGTGTTCCCTCCCTTGAGTTTGTCAGACACCTCTTTTTTCCCTTAGGCTACTTTGAGTTCATTTCTGTTACTTACAACTAAAAAAAAATTGACTAATACAGGGATGCATTAACTCTTTCCAGTAACAACATTCGTACTTGCAGTTCTTACTTTTCTCTCTTAAACACACTAGATGATTTTGGTAATTTTCAGACACACTGAAATTGTTATTCCAGGGGGGAAATGGTCGTCTCCTTACACAGTTCACTAGCCAGTAGTCAGGAAAAAAGATAGCATTGTCTCTGTCTGACCCAGTATTCAGACTTTAGGAACTCTAGAATTTGAGTCACTTTTGCTTCTGACTTGCTCAGAATCACCTCATTCACATCCAGGTATTGCCTTTGATTCTTTGAGCGATACATGGCTGTATAGTAATGGCTAAGGTCCTCAACTGTTTTACATTGAATGAAGAAAAGAATATCAACAAACGTTTGTTTAGAATATTAGAATTTATAAAGCTCAAGCATATCCTTTGTGTGCTGAAAAAATCTGACATAAACCTTGTGAAATAAGTAAAATTCAAGAACCTTGGATTTTGTAAACATAGCAGAAAAGAGAAAAGCAAATCATAGCTACAGCTGCCAACAGATTCATGAAACTTATCAAAGACTAATGCACAAAACAGAAGCAACTAAGCTGCTATAACAGTGTGAGACTTGATTACAGCAGTCATTTAGATGATGGCAAAGATTTTTACAAGTGGAATCAAAGGAAGCAATAGAGGGTTGTAGCCATTCTTAAACAACTCTCGAGTGTCTAATTATGTGCAAGAGACTAAATTAGCTATAAAAATGAGCAGATGCAGTCCAGGGTAGCCTGTGTCCAATATCCATCTCTGAGATAATCACTGCTGCATAGGCCTGCTTAAATGGCAACTCCTGTTTGAATTACGATTACATAAATGGAAAACGCATTTCTCAGGAAGTGATCTCTTGGTAGACAAAATAGCCACTATATCTGCACTGATAACCAACTATATGCACTAATCTGACTCACTGGCTAGTTTACAAATTGAAACACTTTCTTGCAGATTAGTAAATAGTGATACCCTGCCGATTGCCTTGTTAACCCCCGCCCCTACATCGTCCTTCTGCAGTCACTTAAGTACTGATTGGTCAATTTTCTTGCCAATCATTTTCAAAAGCTCATTGGTTATCTCTCGGGAATCCAGCACGGCCCCGCCTTCCGCCCCTGCGTCTCCCCCCCCCCCGTTGGCCACGCCCCCATGCTCCACGGGCGCTGGCCTGGCGCGAGCAAGTAGACTGCGTCCTGTCCGGGTCTGTTCTGGGATTCAATACAGGTTATTTTGAATTGTCCCTGACCGAGGCTCCTTTTCGTGAGAGGTGCGAAAGGCAGGAAGTGTCTTGATTTTGTTCACAGCCATAGCTGGTCATTCACACTGTGTCGCTATTCGCTGAAGTGAAGGTAGAGGGTGGAGTGAAAGGGGAGGAGAAAAGAGCAAGGTGCGCATTACAAATCAGGCGGAGCCCCTGATCAAAATAGTAGTTACTTTAGGGGGCATATTTCAAATACTAGGCCATAACATTTCATAGTGTCTGTCTGGTTCCCTTGCTTTGTCAGGAAAACCAGGCAGGGAGCAAGCTGAGCTGATCCATCCCTTGGATTTGAGTATGGGGTGAGGAAGCGGGTAAGAGTGGCTTGATTGAACTTTAGCCTTCTAAAAACAGACTTTTTGCCTTATAAGTCTCTCTTTCAGGGTACGGAAAGTAGTTATTCTCTAGGGTATAGTACCTGGAGCCTATCAAATTGCCAATGTTTATGGACTCCATGACTGAGTGGTGCGTCTCGGAGACTGAGATAATACCCAGGTTGTACACAGCACAGTTCACAATTGGTGGTGTGCTAAATGAAGAAATTCCCATTCTCTCATTCTTCCGATTAGTTATTAAGCATACATAAACACAAATATATGTATACATATACACATAAATATTATGCATACATATAGAGCAGTGCTGGTGCAGTTTGAACTCAGGGCCCTGAACTTGCTAGGCAGGAGTTCTACCACTTGAGCCACAGCCCTTTTTCCTTTAGTTATTCTTCAGGTATGGTCTCTTGCTTTTTGTCCAGGTGGCCTGGACCACAATCCTTGTACTTTTCCCCTGAATAGCTGGAATGACAGAATGCCCCACTATACCTGCTTATTTGTTGAGATGGGGGTCTCATTAACTTTTTGCCCAGGTTGCCCTTGAACTGTTATCCTCCTGATCTCTGCCTCACAAGCCGGTGGGATTACAGGCACGAGCTGCTGCACCTGGCTTAAATGTTATTGTTCAACTATTATAGGCAATACTAGACACTGGATTATACAGAGGTAAAAACAAATGAACCATGATGTTTGCTAATAGAAATTACATTCTACCTGGCTTTGTCTCTCTCCTATCACCTCCCAACCACCCCCCATAACCCTATTGCCTTCCCACCTCTCAATCTGGATAAATAAAAGCCTTGCAGGATAATTTCTCCCTC